CCAAGCTGCCGAGCAGGTCACGCGTCGCCATGGCTTCCGATGACCGCTTCAGGGTCTACGTCCGGAACGTGCGGAACTCGCTGGGGACGTGGACCATCCGCTCGGCGCTGGAGAGCATGGGCTGCTACAACCTGGTGAGCATCCAGACGTGCAGGAGGCGCTGGAGCGACAGCCGCAACGAGGGGGAGCACATGAGCATGTTTCTCATCTTTGGGGATGCGCCTTGGCAGAAGTGTTTGTCGCTGACGGGGTTCGCGTTTGCAGATTGGTCTTCACCAGGCAATTGAAACATCGATGCTTTTTTTAAAGCAAGAACTCGTCAGGTGCTTTGAACCACGTTTGCACATGTTTGATCATGCACTTGTCATGGGCCCCTGTATCTCCCGTAATTCTAGGTGTCTTTACTTGCGATTACTTGTGACTTACGTGGTGATAGACTTTTCCTTGAGAAACTTGATGGACTCGGCGTTGAAAGTCGTTTGAAATCCTTTGCAGGAGCAGAGCATGAACGACGGCATCTCCTGCATTTGTGCGAATCCGCATGAGCCGCAGCTTAGCAGCAGTGGCCGGCCGCTGGAGCCGTCGATAGCGCTGCCGCCCCCGGCTCGTGGACATGTGGCGCCTTTACCTGTGCCGCCGGCTCCCTCTGCCTTACCTGCGCCATTGCCACCGCCAACAGCACCGACTCATTATGCTGGCGCTATGCCGAAGTGGGCATCGGCCAAGGTGTCGTGCCAGCAACAAGTGTGTTCTTATCATTGTTCAACCCAAACAACAGTTGCCACTGCTGGGACAGGAAGGCTATTTGGTTTTCGCGACCAACACTTGAGTGTGACAGGTTCTCACTTTACTTGTGGCATTACTTTCGGCATTCATTACTTGCGGCAAGCCTGTCAGCTGAGGCACCTCCTTGGGTTGGGCCGCTGCCGCCTCCTCCGCCCCCTCGGGGGCATTCGGCTGATGGCGACGGCCAGGAGGACAACTTGGAGGACGAAGAGATTGGGCGCGCTCTTCAAGATGCTCTTGGCGGCCCTGATGAGTGCTCTGGCGATCCTGATGAGTGCTCCTTCGACGAGTACTGTGCCGCGAGCCCTGTGAGCTTGGTCAGCCACGTCAGCGAGGAGACGGACTCTGAGGAGATGGAGATGGACTCTGAGGAGAAGGAGGAACAGCTGGTGGCGGAGGTTGATCAGGAGAAGGATGAACAGGTGGTGGATGAGGAGAAGGATCAGGAGGATCAGGTGGTTGATCAGGAGAAGGAGGAGGTTGATGAGGAGGAGGAGGGCGCTGGCAGCGGCGTGGTTGTCAAGGATGAGTCGCCAGCCAGGGCTCCAGCCCGTTCGCGGTCACGCCGAAGGCGGCGCCGCTCGGGGACGCCGAGGAGCCGGAGCCGAAGAAGGCGGAGGCGACGAAGCTCATCCCCGGACAGGAGGATCACGTTTCTGCTGGGCGAACTCGGCAGACAGATGCTCCGCAGAGGCTGATAAAATGAGCGAGAGATGAGTACACTTGAGAGGTGATGAGAGCACGAGAGATGAGAGCATGCGAAGAGTCCGATTACTTGTGATGAGAGTACGAGAGATGAGAGCATGAGAAAAGTCCATTTGAGAGCCGATTACTTGTGATGAGAGCACGCAACAGTTGCGCCATTTCCTTGTGACTAGTCGAGGCCACTTACACTTTGTTTGCACATTTCCAGCTCCTGACCACTGAGCCCCTCCTTGTCACTTGGGGAATTGTGCTAAAACGCGCCAGCATTTTTGGGCAGTTCCCTCATGCAGAATCGCAGTTCGTTGGGCAAACCACCAAAAATTAATGATGCGCGGGGTGCCCAATGGTGATGCAATGCTGGTGCAATGTTGGTGCAATGTTGGTGCAATGTTGGTGCAATGTTGGTGCAATGTTGGTGCAGTTTTTACAACTGCACCAAAACTGCACCAACATTGCACCAAAATGGTGCAGTTTTGGTGCAGTTTTAAAAACTGCACCAACATTGCACCAACATTGCACCAACATTGCACCAACATTGCACCAGCGTTGCACCAGCATTGCATCACAATTTGAACATGCCTGCCTCATATATTTGGCCCGACAAGGCTCATCTCAGCCATATGCAGAGGCATTTCCTGGACCTTACAGGAGTCCGGCTAGCTGCAGCCTCTGCGAATTCCTGTGACCATGATGCTGGACTTCACATTGAAGTGCGCATGGACCACACATCTGTCTTTAAGGGCGTTGCAAATCAAATGTTACGTGCCGCAAGTAAACCATGATGAGCCACATCACCCAACAGAACTCTTTCCTTGAACTACCCAGTGCCAACACGCAGTCTCCAAATGGAACCATCCCAGCGCCAGAACATAAAGCTATTCTTTGAGACTGGTTGACCAGCCGGTAGTTTACTTGTGACTGGGGTGCTTTGCTGTGAGCTGTGCCATGGATGCACTTGTTTGTGCCTGTTTGCGTGCGACGCGTTTGTGAGGAGTCCGATGCCTGAATCATTAGGGATTTGCTGGCTTGAGTCTGACTTACTTGTATGAAGTTTATTCTCTTATGATGCTTGTTTATGCCCCTTCACAACCTAGGTGCTTCTACGGTATATCGATGGTGGAAATGTTACTTGTGACCTGTGCAAATGTTACTTGTGACCTGTGCAAATGTTACTTGTGACCTGTGCAAATGTTACTTGTGACCTGTGCAAATGTTACTTGTGACCTGTACAAACGTTACTTGTGACCTGTGCAAATGTTACTTTGATCTGTGCAAATGTTACTTTGATCTGTGCACATGTTACTTGTGACCTGTGCAAATGTATTACTTGTGACCTGTACTTGTGACCAGCTGCAAAAGTTACTTGTGACCTGTGCAAATGTTACTTGTGACCTGTGCAAATGTTACTTGTGACGCATGTGCTTCAGGGTCATCGCCGAACATTATTTTGCATCGTTGCCTGTTGCTAGCTGCCTGTAAGAGTGCCTTCGCGTTGCTCCCTGAGCTATGCCGCCCACAGATGAGGACGCATCCAACACCGGTGAATGCGATGGCCAATCAAGTGAGCCTGCGGCTGTGGATGCAAATGCCAAGCCAAAGGCGAAGGCCAGTGCCGCGGGAAAGTCCAAGGCCAAAGGAAAGGCCAAGGCACAGCCAAAGCCTAAGCCCAAAGGAAAGGCTCAGGCGAAGGCCAAGGCCAAGCCAAAGGCTACAGGGATGAAGCGCCCCGCCGCCAAGCCGATGGAGAAGGCCACTCCGTCCAAGAAGGAGAAGGGCGCGAAGGAGAAGGGCACTCAGCCCCAGAAGCGGGAGGTGAAGGAGGAGTGGAAGGATGGGCTGCCCAAGCCGGAGCACGATGGCTCTGCCGCTGAGGAGGAGGGTGGGGAGGAGGCTGGCGAGGAGGAGTTTGTCAAAGAGGGATCCCAACCTGAACTTGGAGGCTGGAGGCTGCGAAGAGAATGACGCCACCAAGAACAGGATCAAGGCCCGAAAGTTCAACGCGATGCTGAAGGCAGGCCAGTTGCCTTCTTGGCTGGCGACCGCTTGGGAGAAAACCTTGGAAATGGGCCCTGGGAAACAGGACCGACAGCGTATGTTGGTCAACGCCGCGTTCGACCACAAGAACGGCCGCCTCATCCTGAATGTCGATAAGCCGATCTTCCGAGATGTCCAGAAGACGTACCAGAAAACGGAGGCGTCTGATAAGAGTAAGAGTTTGACCAAACTGCTCTTCAAGAAAAAATGGAATCTGACCGAAGAGGAGTTTGCCCAGGGCTTGGCTGACAAGGAGTTCTACGAAGTCACGGATGCCGCGGGGAAGCTCAAGTACGGGTGGGATGTCTCCGAGCATTCGACGACAAGGGGCAAGGAGGGCAGTTCGGCGGTGGAGGCGATCCATGAGGGCAACCGGCAGGATGCCAAGTTCTTCATGCAGTTGGCAGGGGACTGGAAAATCGGCCTTTTTTCTAAAAGCTCATCTTCGAAGTCTGGCATGCTCGCCCTGCACGACAGCGATAAGGAGATCAACCCGGAGCAGTGGAAGCAGGCCCAGAAGCAACTCAACCTTGGCATGGCTGCGTGCGAGCGGCTGCATCAGTCAGCCAAGAAACTTCTGCAAGTGATCGGCGTGGATGCGAAGGAGGACGAGCTGTGGAGTAAGCTGCTGCTTGGCCAGGACTTGCAGTTTTCCCTGCAAGCTTTTACTTGGGAACTGGCCTGACAAGGCAGGGCTATTTCCTTCCAAACTAAAGCTTTGACAGCTCAATGAGGTCAGGTTTTACATTTGGGCCGCACGTAAAAGGATTGTCTTTTTGGAACGTCACTTACTTGCAACTCCTTTGCAACCTATGCAAATGCGTGTGTCAGGAACTCAAGTAAACCTGCAAAGTGCGTTGCTTGCCGGCTGTTTGGGAACCCAGGTAGCAGTTGCAGCTCAAATGCTTGCTTGGGGAATGGGAAGCCCAAACGCAATCGGTAAACTCACGTAAATTATTGCGTTGAGTCGCGGCTAAGTTTTTCCAAACCCTAGCCTTGTAAAAGCCCTGGTGTAAAAGCCCTGGGCCGTAGATAAAGAACGTGAGATGCGCCTCAGGAATATGTTGTAAACAAGCCTTGTAGGAGCAGTTCGCAAGTATAAGACCCTGGCTGACAAGCTTTGTGGGCTTTGCGGGAGTGCGGGGTATGCAGCTTGCGTTATCTTTACTTGCGACGGGCTACGTGGAACTGCACGCTTAGCTTAACTATATTTAAACACCCGCCGCTGAGCATTCTGAGGAAGAAAGCTGCCCAGGCCGCATCGACCGCCAAAGACCGCCTGGAGCACGTGTACAATTGGAAAGAGTCTTGGCCAAGTACTTTCAGAACCAAATATGTTTGTTACCCGCCCCACTCAGGAGATGCAGAACGGACAGGACATCACTCCCCAGCTCTACGACACCCTCATGGCCGAAGTTGGATCTCAGTGCGAGATGTTGGAGGAGGACCTTGCGGCGATCCGAGCCCAGGTCAATGTGCGGAATGCTAGGAAGAGGGCCAAGAACAAGGAGTCTGACTAGGATTTAGAGCGGCTGCGCTTAGGCTACGGTTTCGGAGCCTTGCTTGCAAGATGCGACTTATACTTGTTATTGGATGGTCTTGTGGTTTGCTAGGGTTATGCAAGATAGAATAGATAGCCGCTAATTATTGCTATATAAATAGGCCAGCCGTGGCGTGCGAAGCCGTATGTTTTGGTCAGAGCGTGACTCACCTGCTCAAACCGTGGAAGCGATGAACTTGCGGAGAAACCCCGGCATACACTTTCCTGCAACAATTTACTTGAGAACAGGATCACGCCCGCTGTTCTTTTCAAAACTGGTGTCACCCTCAAATACGGACAAAAACTGCCCGGACGGTTACTTGTGGACATGCGCAGGCATTCTTCGGGTGGTTTGTCTATATAAAGGCCAGCGTGTGCGAGCAACGTCGGGCAAACTGTATATAGCCATGATTCTTTTGGGGTTGCGTTCACTGTAGGACCTTTACTTGAGAAGCGCGCGTACATGGCTCCGGCTCACAGCACATTCAAACCAAGCACAAGCTTGGCCAATGCAATTTCGCCGGCAATAGCTGCATGATGCTTCTTTCATGCAACGGGCAGCTTCACATGTAATGGCTTCACGCTTGTTGTGATGCATGCTGAGTTGACCATGGACGATTTCAAATTTCGAGGCGCCATTTGAGAAAATTGTTGCGTGGGCATGAATCATTACAAACTCTGGGGCATAGTCACTCTCCAGGCTTCCTTTCAATTCCTATCATGGAAGAGGCGGGTCCAAAGAGACCTAAAAAAGGGGGGACCTGGCAAAGGCAGCAGGCAGAGTCTGCGGAGAATAGTGCAGAGAGCGCGCTCAGCATCCTCCTCATGACATATTTGGCACAGGGCGTGCTTAGCGGCGCATGTGTGCATGCCATCGCGGTAGCTGCCAAGCATGATCTGTCCAAGGCAGAGCAGGGCTACTGCTTGCCCAAGCTGGATGCTCTCGCGAAGATAAAGCACGGCAAGAACTTGCAGCAATCAGTTCTCAACAAGCTGTCGCAGGAAACCAATCTTCCGAAACCAGCGGAAGTCGACGTTCCCTTGGCTGGAGGGCCCAGCAATGTTGCTAGCTCGTGCATCATGCTGCCGCACGAGCTTTTTTCTGCATTTTTTTCTGATGAAGCCGCATGGGCTCGAAGCGTGCTACCTGAGGATCGTTTGGAGCAGTTCTGGGACGCATTTGAGCATCACCCGTGTATGGAGGGTCATCCTGTCAAGGCCGTGAAGGATTGGAAAGGGCGCTGTTGCCCTCTTTCATTGCACGGCGACGAGGTGCCAGTGCAGGGAGTTGGAAAGATTTGGTGCAGGTCTGCCCTGATGATTTCCTGGGCAAGCCTGATTGCTATTGCTTGTGGTAAAGGCGTATCCGACTGCCAAATTTACATTTATGGCCTCTTTGAGAAGTTTATTCAGAGTGAAGCGCCCGGCATTCCCGGCACAATGTCTGTGCTTTGGCAAATCCTGCAGTGGTCCTTTCAATGCATATGGGACGGCACCTTCCCGGCACGCGATTGGAGGGGCATCCCCTTTCCTCGTGAAAGCCCTGAATGGAAAAAGGCCGGGCAACGGCTGGCTGGGAAGTATTTCGGATGTTTAGTTCAGCTTTGCGGGGACCTGGATTACTACGCCAAGTGGCTGGGGGTGCCGCACTACGGCAGCCACTCTGCACCCTGCAGCCAGTGTCGCTGCACCTACCGAGGGGCGCTGAGCTGGTTAGACTGCCGAAGCAATTCGCCGTGGCAGCGCAACTGGCTTTCGCCTTCCACTTGGAAGGAACATTGGAACACCACGTGTCAGCTGTTCCAATTGCCTGGTGTTTCAGGGCTCTCAATTGCCATGGACCTGATGCATTGTCTGCATTTAGGCTGGCTTCAGTATGCCTACGCGTCTGTATTTTCTCTCATTGTCTCAGACTGCTTGACGGGAACGCCATTGGAGAATTTACTCGTGATCAACAAGTTTGTCAAGGACTTCCAAAGACAAAGGCCAACAAAGCATCGCTTCCGCCCCAACCTCAACAAGCTTACGATGTATCAAAAAAAAAACTCATATCCTAAGCTCAAGGGTCGAGCGGCCGACGTTTACGGGTTGGCAGACACAATGCTGCATCTTTGGGAAGCTCATATGACCTCTACAGACCGACAACATGCAATGATCAAGATTTTTTTGAAAGCGAACCTGCAAGTGCACCAGCTGCTGGAGGAGTTCCACCCAAGGTACGGCTTCATTGCCGTGCCTCTTGAGCAAGCCAACAAAATCTACGAAGGTGCGCTGCGGATGACCCAGCTGCACTGTCAGTTGCAGGAGTACTACGAGACCTCTGGAAGGAAAATATTTAACATTACAACCAAGACGCATTTTTGCTTGCATTCCCTGTGGTTGGCAAGGTACATTCACCCAAGCATCGTTTGGTGCTACAAGGGCGAGGCGACAATGCAGCGGCTGCAGAAGCTGTGGAAGAGCTGCTTGGACGGAAAGAAACATTGGCAGGTTGGAAAGGTTGCAGCCCACAAGGAGCGCTACCTCCTGCACGTGAAAGCGAAGCTGTAGTTTCACCGAGAGAACGGCCGGCGCCGGCGCTTCGAGATGTGCTTGCGGAGTGCGCTTATAACAGTTACGTGGGGGAACACCGCACATGAGTTGCAAGGATTTCGTTGCTTGAGGATTGAACGGGCTGCTTCGCGAAACAAATGAAAAATTACTTGCGGGGCAACCTCCGTGTGACTTGTGCTTGCCGGTGCCTCATGGGTTTTACACCGAATTTTTTTACTTGTGACATGTGCAGTGTAGGTTAGACTTGCAGATATTGGTGCTTGTACTTGCAAAGCAGGAGGCCCGACTCAGGACCATCAAGCGTGCTCGTTCTTACTTGTGAAGTGGGAAGCTGAGCTTTTTTTGCCGTTGACATGCATGTTCCCATGCGCTCCCTCCATTGGTTTCTTCTTATTTTGGGGCGTTCTGGCTGTATTTTTCTGATCCCGCGCAAATTTACTAATTTTGCATTACTAGTAAATTTTACTAGTAAATTCTTCGATTTTAGTAAATTTACTAAAATAGTAAATTTACTACTTTTGCAGACTCAGGGTAATCATGCTATGCACTCAAGCGCAAACTCGCGACACTGTTTCGGGCATATTCGCCTTTGTGTATTAGTTTGTTTCTAACGTCATTTTCCGCCCGTGTGGGCATGTCCATAGGATCTGTTATCAACATTCTATGCAATGTTGCAAAAGGGTCGTAGTAGAGATATCCCTAGGGATGACCATATTCGGTCAATATCCAAGAGGGAAATTGCACTACCGTGTTTAGCATTATAGGTGTCCGAGGTTTACACACCTTTGGAGCTGATAGGTATCCCTTTATTCAGGGGAACGTTTTGTTGGTTGTTTTCTCTTCCCGGGCGCAAACTCGCGCAATGGCGTCGGCTGCCTCTGCAGCCGGTGGTGCGGCGGGCGCTGCCCCGCGGACGAGGGGGTCGAGCTTGGCGGCGCGGCAGCAGGCGGGCTACATGAACACGAACTACGCAAGCCTCTTGGCTCCGATTCACCCCGAAGCGAAGCCGGCAGCCAATGCGCTGTCCGACGACAGGCCTAATCGGCTGTCGGAGTGCCTTAAGATTTGCTACCCGTATTTGACGGCAAAGACCGGTCATTACGGTGCTAGCACCACTGCTGAAACGCAGCTGGTTGAAGTCAAGCTTGAGGTCAAAGACCCACAGGTCATAGGTGCCATTGCGGGCATCTACAATCTTTTGGAAGGGTTTGATACTGAAATGCTCAGTGATAGCTCCTTCATTCCGCATATAAAGAAATATCGCCGCCTACGCGTGGCTGGTATTCTCCAGGCAATGATCCTGGATGAGGTGGAGCTGAGTGACCAAAGCGTCTACACGGCTTCCATGGTCATATGCGAGGCCATGCCTCGAGAATCAGAGCTCCATTGCGAGCCGTCTTGCAACCCGATTTTGGAGATGACCGTGTCGACGGCCGTTTCCCCAGCGCTGGTTCCCCGAGGCGGGAACTGGTTGTACGATCTAGGAAAGATCGACGCACGCTGGAGTACATACTTTCAGGTTGCGAGTAAGAATGTTATTCGTGCCATGGAAACGGTTGTCGAGAAGGGAAGAAGGGATTTGCCTTCCAACGTACAGCCGGCTGGTGCCGAAGAGGCATTCAAGGCTTGGGCATACCAGCGCCCCACCGCACTCTGCACCCCGCCCAAAGCGGTGGTCAAGCATATGAAAGCAATTTACTGCATCTCAGCCGATGCGCTGACAAAGATGCAGTCGGTTAATGCACACGCGTTTGAGGTCGGGTCAATGCGCCGGGAAATCGACGCCGTGTGGTCCTCTTATGAATCATTCGTTGAATTCTTTATTGATCAAGTGGGGATTGCACCCACCATTTTCCATCTGGTTGACTGGAAACGCACGAAGCCGCTGAAAATGCCAGCCAAGCAGATCGGGGACTGGCACGCCGGCGACCCCGTGCATGAGCATGATGGGTACCTGGTGTTCCCCATGCGGCATTGCAAGGAGCTCGATGCAGCTAGCATGCATGAAAAGTGGGTTCATGGAACCCAGTTCTCGTCCCTATGGAACATAATGGCCCATGGGAACGTAGTGGCGTCGCCCGGCAACGCTGGTGCGCCTACGGGCGTGTGGACCACGGTGAAACCCGTTTACCTCGAGGGATTCTATTCATGTGTCAGTCACATTGGGCTTGGCGTAACCGCCCGGCTGTCCCTCTTGCTCCGTCCTCTCGGCAGGAGCGCTTCTGAGGTGTTTAAACGCACTGAGAAGCGGCCTGCCCACCAACGCGTGATTAGACAGTTCCGCGTCCGTGTTGAGGCAATCGCTCTCAAAGTCAGTTGAAGAAGGAACCGCGGCCGTGTCAGGGAGCTTGCTTGCGCCTAATCCGGCCACCCACATTTGGAATCCCATGCTTGAGGTAAACCCTCACTCAGCGGAGGTCGGATGGC